CTGGCTGTGGTTCCTCAGAAAGCAAACTTTCAGACAGACACTGCCCATTTGTACCACACCCTATTTTTGTAACATTTTCTGATTCACTTTCAGCTGGTCATGGCCTGCCACAACCCTAACGGGAAAACCACTGCAAGTAGAACCAGGGAACTCTGAAGAGAGAATCATGGCCCTTCTCCTTGAGGCACTTACAGTCTAGATAACGGCACAATGAGCACAGCAGGATTGTGCTGCAGAAAGAGTGTGGGCTTTCATGAGACAAACCTGGTTTGCGCCCTAGTTCCACCACTTCGTAGCCCCATGGCTTCAGGTAAGTAATTCTGAAATGCAAACTTGTCTCTAAAATGTATATATGATACCTACCTTGCTGGGTTATTGTCAAAAGTATATGAAATAATACATGTCATGTACCTAGCAGAGTGCCTGGCATACAGTAGGTGCTCAGTAAATGCCACTGCTTTGTCTCTTTCCCTGAAGAAAGAATGTGCAGATACAAAGCCTTGCAAAGCAACATATACATGCAGTGACAGCTCTGAGGGAACAAGCTGTACAGAAGTAAGTCAAAGTGCCCAAGGAGGTCAGAATGCTCTAGATTGTTCCCATCAGAAATGACCCTGGAAGGGCTGGCTCCATAGAGCTAAGATTCCCTAAGTTCTCCTGCACCTGAAGCAATGTGGAAATACATCCTGGCCTCTCTTGTGGACGCAAGAAAAGGACATCTCCGTAGTGCTTCTTCATGGAAGGAGGAGGAATTGCTTTTCTATTTTCCCTGCATGATCTCAATGGCTGGACAAGCCAATCACTGAACAGGAATGCTTTTTGTTTTAAGATTCTTAGATAACTATGACGCATTTAAAAAGGTAAGATATTGTTTTCCAACTCCAATTCCTCTCAAAAATTAGAAAGCACAACTCCTTTCTTGTAGATGGGTACAGTGTTCTGTTTTTTAAGCAATGACGATTCTGGAATGCTCCACTCACACTTGGAAGAAAATAGAGTTTACGAATCAGTTTAGGATACTCTTGAGTCTAATGTGAAAGATTTAAAAATATTTCTTCCAAAATAGCTCAACAACGCTCAAAGCCTAATAAGCTGAGAGATTTTATCAGCACTTAAGTGGCTTAAGGTACTCTGAATGCTTGGGGAGCTCCCAAATTTTTAACAAGTTGGTTACCATGTAACCACAAAACAGAAGCCTCCCATGCAATTCTAGAATGACTTCAGGCTCTCCAGGGAATTTTTTCCAACTGATAGCTAAAAATCATCTGATATGGTTACCTATAGCAACATTACTATTTTAAGCAAAAAGATGAAAGATAAATAAGAACAAATGGAAACTAATCTTTTTTTAGTCTGTGACCTTTAAGCAAGGCCAGTCACCCCTTGTGGTTAAATAATGTCAACTTATTAAATTTTTACCAACTTCATAAATAAATGCTTTCTACAAAAATCAAGCTTGCTCATGCACATGGGTCAGCAAAGAACACAAGCTATAGCGCTGCCCCGGCCAGTAGGGTGGCCACTAGCCACACGTGGCTACTGAGCATGAGAAATGTGGCTATCCAATCTGTCATGTGCTTTCAGTGTAAAATACACACTGGATTTTGAAGACTTGGTATGAAAAAAATATAAAATATTGCATTAATTTTATACTGCATACATGTTGATGTAATAATATTTTGGCTATCTTGGGTTAAATAAAATATATTATTAAAATTATTTCACTTGCTTCTTTTTTTTTTAATGTGGCTACCAGTACATTTAAAATTACACTTGCTGCTTGCATTATCTTCCCATGGGACAGCGCGGGGGGAGGCTATTTCAGCTTAGGTTACAAGTTAGTTACACCATCCCTCTGCTTGAGTTTCTCCATTTGTGAGATGTCAAGAGCTTGGATTAGATGCCTTTTAAAACCTCGATGGCTCTAACATCCTAGGACTCGAGGGTTCAACAGTTACTGCTGCTGGAGAAAAGATCAAGGGCCGACAGATGAGAGTACTGTAACTAAGAGGCAGGGCAGCCTTCATGAGAGCTGGGCTCTGGTCAAGGCGCCTGAGAAAGCTCAGGGCGTCCCTTACAACCACCCAGCATCTCGTGTGTCTCGAGGCTGGAGACGGTGCTGTCCTACTTCTGCCACATGCCAGCCAGCAGCTGACAAGAGTATTGGAGGAAAGCCCTGCTGGTGTGGGGCTGGCTCCTGGGCTCAGCACACGCGCCACCTATTAACAGATGAGCGGGTCTGTGGCTGGAGCAGCACAGCTGATGGATGGCACGCTGTCGGCTGAAGCCCAGGGTGCAGTGGAACAGAAACACAGCCTGGCTGCCAAAAGCTTCCAGAAGCCTGATCTCACCAGTGTGCCACCCATCCGAGGGAGACTGAGAAGTGGGAAAAAACCCAACTTACTATTCATATTATGTTTGCAAGCCCCACTCCAAATTTTAGCAAACCTGGATTCTGCGGCTTATCAGACTCACAAAGGAAGCATTTTTTTTTTTAAAGCCTGTAACTATCAGTTTCATCCGAAACATTATTCTGTATTTTTGTTTTGTTTTGTTTTCTGGAACCAGTCAAAACGGCACCTTCTGAATTAACTTGGACTCAAGATAGAGTTGTCCCCCCACCCGGCACGGCACTTGGAAGTCCTCACCATCTGTCCCAAGCCACCTTTCCAGGCCCACTTTCCACCATGTGACAGCAGCATTCAGCAAACATTTATTGGGTGTCTCTCCTGTGCCAGGCACTGGGATATGACAGCAAGGCAGATGCGGTTCCTATCCTTAAGCAGCTTTCAAGGTGTGGGGGGAGCTGGCGTGGAGAATGTCCAGTAAGAAGACAAATGTGATGCCATGAAAATTCTGTGACAGGTATAGGGTGCTTGCCTTAGGAGCACCTGACTCAGGCCTAGAGGATCTAGGAAGGCTTTTTGGAGGAAAGGAGAGTTAACTTGGCTAAGAACTGACCAAGAGAAGAGGAGAAGAAAGAAACAGGTCATGTAGAAAGAGTGATGTGCTCCAAGGTCCAGAAGTGAGAATGAACAAGGTGCATTCCCAGAGGGCTGGAACTCAGAGGGTGAGGGGCCAGGGGAAGAGATGAACCTGGACATGAAGCAGGGGCCAGACCATGGAGGCCTTAAATGTGCTGTGAAGAAGTTGATGCTGGCTTAAATCTAAGGTGATGGCCAGGGGATGGAGTACCCAGCCCCGTTCCGCCTGGCCTCTGCAAGCTTTAACTGCTTCCCAGACCCCAGGCATGCCATGTACTCCCGGGCCGTCCTGCCTTGGCACAAGCTGTCCTTTCTCTCTTCAATGCCTGCTCTGTCCCTGCCTTTTTTTTTCCATCAAGGAAATAATCCCATGTAGACTTCCACAAACGGCCTCTCAAGGGTCTCTTCCCTTATAAACCCTTCCCAACTCTGAGACTGAATCAATCATCCCCTACCCCATGCACATATTTCTTGCAATAAAGACTTCAGGGGGAGGGAGCGTCTGCCCAATTAATATCCATCTTCTTTCAGAATTGGCCCCGTGGTGGCAGCCAAGCAGCCGCATCTGGGCAATGTGACCGTGTGCCTTGAGCATCACCGGTTGAGTCACGAGGGGACATGGGACTCAGATCTTGTCTCTCTCACTTAGAAATTGGGCCTGGGATATGCTAGTAGGTCCCTGCTAAGTGCTTCAGCTGGTGGACATTTAAACCTGGGATCTGTGGGCTAGGCAACTTCTCCATTTTATGGAGAAGAACAGGAAGCTGGGCGAGAAAACAAACCACTGTCATGGTTCTTGACAACTTCACAGAGTCTTGTTCTAGTCACTCATGATCCCTGAGCAAACGTCCTGATGCTGAATGATGGGAAGACCCCTGCATCTTTCTAACCAACTCCAACTCTCATTGTGACCTAGTGGAATGGGTTTCAGATACTGCCATCACATAAGTCCTGAAAAAGGCACTCTTTTTATAGCTCTACTGCCTTTATACAGCAATTACTCATTTCTCTACTAAAATCAAAGTTGATACACACATGACACAGGTGCTGTCACTTTCCTAGCAAATTCCCACTGCAGACACGACTAAGGGATCACAGCACTCTCTATCTGGGCCCCACAAGCCATCAAGACTGTGTTCCAGGTGGCCCCAAAGAAATTAACTGGAATGGGCACGCAAGAGAAGTATCGGCCATCAATGTTTAGACTGGAATCTACTTGAAGAAACGTTCCGTGTCCTTTTCATGGTTGTAATCACAACATCCAGCTCTGTGCTTGACACAAGGTCAGCAGGGAATAATGCTTGCTTGGAGGATAAACTATTACGGATAAAAACGATTACGTTCTAGCCTGATTGCTCATTCTTGTCTCTTTATTCACCCATCTGAGCTCAATGGAAGTCTAGAAAGGATTCATTCTTTTCTATTTTAGAAACAAGGTAAGTAACTCAGTAGTGAAAGAGCTGAAATAGAGCAGTGCATCTTGGTCTCAGGCACACACTTACAACCCATCTCTGCCCATCTAGAACTCATCCTTCTTTTTTTATCCCTGGGGATATGGTCACATTTTAAAGTTACATCAATTTAGGACAATGGTTACAAAAATCCTTACAGAATCAGAGCACTCTATTCTTTCTGACTTAATTATATACATTTGTAAAGTGTGGCCTACTAACTTATTTGTAGACTATTTTGCCAGTTTATCCATAATTTATCACAAACTTATATGCAATCTGAAAAAAAATAACCTAACTACCATATGATAACCTGTAAACTTCAGGAACTGTAAATCCCGGGAACTTGAGGAAGTAAACACTACAGGAAACCTGTAAATTTCAGAAACTGTGTCTGTCACAGCAAAGCCAAGATTTTTCCTTTCCTTACATAATGCCTTTATCAATGCCTCCCACAACGTAGGCTCCCCCTTGTACGACTGTAGCAAAAAGTCTCTCTGACTACCTTGATAAGCTATGATTAGTAAACAAACAAAAAAGAGCATGTTAAAAATCAGTAACATACCAACTCCATTAACTGTTTGAGCTGCCCTATCTCTTCTGGCAGCGATCCAAGTTTGTTGTTACTTGCAATTAAGACTTTGAGAGGCAGACCACACAGGCAGGCAGGCAGGGCGGACAGCTGATTTCTACTGCAAAGACAATACAACAAGAACACACGTAAACATACCGGCCACTTCATACTGTTCCTGAACATGTTTTTCACAAGCAAAGAGAAAGAAGTGATCTGAGAAGACATTTTACAAATACAGAAAGTCCAATAAAGCTTCTATATATATAATAATTCAAATCCCCAGTGTATAAGAAAATAAAATATATTTAAAAAAAAAAGAGATGCATAGGCAGTTCTGAGGGAAACTTTTCCCAGCACGAGGGACTCTCCATCAAGCCCTCTGCAGAAGCTGTGCCCTTGGCCAGCTGGGAGGCAGATGGGCAACACGCTCTGCACCACCAACAGCAACGGGATGCTGGTGCCAACTGTTCTCCTCCTGCGATGTGAGCAGGGAACTCAGCGAGGACCAAAGCAACCAGCACTGCGAAGGCATCGTCTCATCCATTTTAGTAGTGATGGGGGGGGGGGGGGTCCCTTTGCTGCAACTCAGAAAACCACCGGGCGGATTTCCAACGTTTTGACTCAGCTTCCTTTTGTTAAAGCAAGAGCTTCTGTGGTTAAAGGCTATTTGAGTATCTGCAAGAGAGCTAATTAAAAGAAAAAAGTAAAGTTGGCTTTCTGGCAAAAATGAAGCCGGAGCCTAAAGGGGTTCAGTTTTGCAGAGTAGCCAGAAAATCTGAGTCCAGTTCTCGCCTCTGTTCTGCTTGAAGAGGTTCTCTACTCAGAGGTCTTTGAACTGCTGATCGTCAAGCCTTAGTTTTCTGAGAGACGGAGGGAGGAGCCCTTTTCCTGCTATCAAGGAGACAGACAGATGGTTTTCAGTTTCCTTTGCTTTCCCGGCCATTATGCTGATGAAGCCAACGAGGCAGTGAAATTTCTAAAAATCTGTATGTTAAGTTATTGCAACTACTTAGAACTTCTTGTGTGTATGTGCACACACGCATGAAGCTTCAGAGGTTGTGGTACTGTGTACATGTATTTATGGGCACGCACATATCTGTGTGTGCGAGGGGGAGGGACAGTCAGATAGACTGGAAACACACCAAAAAGTTATCAGTGGTCATTTTGGGGAGAGTAGGTACAATGAGTGCTTCTTATTTTGTTTATTATACTTTGCTGAATTTTCCAAAGTTCCTACAGAGTGCTTTTATAATTAGGAAATACATACCATTATAAAAAGATAAACTTCATCTGGATACTGGTTACATGGGTGCTTCTATTTGTGAAAATTCCTTGAGATGTACACTTATGACCTATGGACTTTTTTCTATGTATGTTATATTTCAATGAAAGGTTTTACTCCCCCACTCCCCCACATGAGGAGACAGGACTTGGGCTAGCCAAAGGGCATCTCAAGCTAATGGGCCAAGAAAAAGCAGGTGTTGTGCTCAGGAGAGAAGCTTTCTAATGTGGGTGGCTCCCCTGTAACCACCCTGACATCTCTCCTGCTGCAGGTACCCAATGCCCAGGTAACTAGGTTTTAGCAAGAAAAGATACAGCCATATCTTCTTTCCATTGCCCATATCCACAAAGAAACTATTTTCAGAAAGGAGCAGAATGAGGAGAGAGCTTTCTCTAAGAGAGTCCAGCGGAGGGAGGGAGGAGATTGAGAGCCCTATGGGGGTTCCTGGCACTAGAAGGGCCAGCTGGCTCTTTGCTCCCACCTGGTTAGGGTGACAGGCGAGAACAAGGGTGATGGGCTCGCCCTGGCACTCTCTCCTGATCTCTGGGGGCAGTAGAAGGGGAGACCAGGGCTACCAGCCTGTCCTTCTGTCCTCTCACATCCCTCCTGCCGCTATGCCTCACCCGCAGGAGCCCAGTGGGGCTCTTTTGGCTAGATAAGAGCCTTTCTGGTGCCCTGCCGGGAGAGCTTTCCTCAAGCTCCAAAAAAGGCTCCTTAGACACTACCTCCAGAAAAGAGAACTAAGTTTATTAAAAGGTGGCAAGTAAATAATTTGGGATGTAATTTGTGGTTACAAAATATTTATTAACATGTAATTTCATAAAGTGAGGATTGGTAAATTAAAACGTTAACAAGGCAATTCTATTATATTGGAGCTATATTTAAACTTCCTTTTAAAGAGAAGATTAAGGGAACAAAGATTAGTATTTTCAGAAATTTCTACATTCCTATTTTCCACAGAATCAACCATCACAGTTGGAGATCTTTCCCACGTTTCTTTGCTTGGAAACTCAGATTTAAATAATTCCCAGTCTCACTACCTTAATGCAGGCATCTAATCAGATTAGCAGATACTGAATTGGGAGAGCCATTTATCTTACCATTTAAGCAATGCCATGGAAGCTCTGCTCATCTAAAAGCATGAATATTTGCGATTACACGAGATTTTTCTCACTGGAATTCTTCCAGGGTAGGTACTAATTTAAAATAAAATAAAATTGAAGCTTGTGAAAGCATTTATGGTTTCTTTGGTGGGGATGCATGCTTTTTATGCTGCAAGTTGCTAATGGGATAGCCTATTTATTTATGCCTCACACATTCCTCTATTTACACTATAGTTAATCACCTGTAGACAAATCCAGATACCAAGACTTTAGTCATAATAAGCATTCCAGAGACCTGGGGCACGTTTCTTCTACTTCATGCATCCATCCCCTCAGCCTCATTTCATGTATTTTATCACAGGATGTTCCTGTATTACTTGTAATTTCCCCAACAGAAAAAGGAAATACACATGCACACAAAAACCCATTAGCTCCAGCAAATATTTACAAAGGAGAGGAGAAACTACACTCCCTCTAAGCCTCTACCCACTAAAGGCCACATCAGCAGCCTGAGTTTTTTGAAACCACTCATCTGGCAGCAATTTTTCTCAAGCAAATAAGTGCCCCAGGCTGTAATCCACTATCCTGCCCCTGCTTGTCTCCTGAAGGCCTCTGCGCTATACACAGGCCCTTCGAGGAAAGAATGTTTAAAAATAAGGCCACATAGTATCTGATAAGGTAAAGGCCGACATTTATTTTCAAATCTAGCCTGTGAGCCACATCTGAAAGCAAAATTAAAAAAAAAAAAAAAATTTTAACTCACTCATTACAAAACAGTAGATTAGTGGGGGAAAAGAGCCGCTCATTCGGAAGTAGAAATTATGGAATCGGTCCTGGTGGCCTGAGCCTTCCTGCCATCACAGAGCTGAGCCTGCCCAGCATCTCGTATCACTCTCCCTGCCCAGTCTGGGTTGAGGATGGCACAGGGAGGAAGGAGTGGGCCGTTAGCAGTCCTTGTTTATTGCTAATGCTTCTTCTTCCATCTTTATCAGTTGAATGACTCCCTGCTAGATTTATTCGTTTAGTTCCTCATTTCAAGATGAAACAACAATCTGAACATTTTTGATAGTCTAAGTTTGCAGGATAAATTTCTCTTAAGTTGAAGTACCACTATATCTCACTTAACATAATTCCTAAATTAAGGAATTCACAAACCAAGTCACTTCTGTATGGTTTTACTTTTAAAGAGTTTTATTTTAACATATTTTGACTATAGCACTTATTAATATCCATGTTTTCAGACTTAATGTTGGTATTTGACATTATTTATTATTGGTTTATCAGAAAGTTATTTTCCTTCAAGTATGTGATGATAAAAACATGCTATATTTTTACATGTGATTTTATTATCAGGGCATCATATATAATTTTTTATTCAACTGGAATGTAACTTTTTTTTAGTGTATAGGTTCACTTAATAATGCAACATAGAATTCACTTAGAAAATAATTTATAGAAAGACTCGTATAACAGATTTCACCTATTCAATTGGTAAAAAGGTCACCAACTATGGAATTAGAAGATCTGGGTTCCAATCGCATCGCTGCCACAAGTCATCTATATGACTTTAGGTGAGTCACTTAACCTCTCTGGCTTTGTTGTCCATAAAACATAGGTAATAACACCTATATACCATGATACATGGATGCAAAAGTGCTTAGCCCAACACTAAATCTATATATAAAAACTAAACCCTATTCAACCACTAATGTGGTCAAGCATTGGGGAGGTGACCAAAAAGAGCATACGTATTTTCAGCTAGGCTTTAGTCATTTATTTCCTAATTGCTAAAACTTCAGCCACTTTTAAAATATGGTTTCATGTTTCATTCATTGAAAACATTTACCAACAAAAAATAAAGAAAACTACTCTGAGGCATGCTGAGAAGAACCAGGCTGGGCTATAAAATTCCAGGCCCAAATAAACCAAGTAACTGTTTTCAACCTGGAGAATCAGGACTAGGACATATAATCACCTGAATGACGTTTTGTCTCCCATCTTCTCTAATTCCAGGATCCTACCATTTCTCTGGGAACACATGAACACCCAGGGATCACCATCTCCATTTACTACTTGGTTTCCAAAGAGGAACAGAAATAATAATGTGAAATCATTAACCATCACAAACCTATTAAGAGAATGTCACAGCGTGCATCTGACGGGCCACAGAGAAAGCAGGGCAGGTTTCATGGTGTGGTCACCTGGTCTTACCCTATAGGCATCTCTGCCAGGGAAGGGAATAAACAAGTATGCAGTAGTTACTGTTACTGCCTATTTGAATGGCACTGTCTGTGCTCCCTGCCTGACCTCCAGTAAATAGTTACTTTACTTTAGCCAAGCAAGTTTCCTTTTTCACATGATACCTCACCTAATTTTGTTTTCCTGTTCTTTTTGCATACCATGTTTGCCTTTCATTCAAGACAGAGTAACTTTTTTCTGTTTTGCATATGACACTTGACTGTTAATTGTCTTCACCCACACACAACAACCATAGAGACCGTTTCCTTTTTCCTGCTTGGTCCACTCTGAAAAGCCCACCATGGCCAAATGTCTCACCCTCACTTCCTCTAATGACTGAGTACTTCCCCTGTTGCCAGCCCTCCCCCTGCATTCCCACAATCATTATACGTCCAAGATAATTACCAACAAGAAGAACATTGCTTTAAGTCACCTTGTGATATCTTGGTCAACTTTAATTTTATAAATATAAAAATTATAAATATAATTTTAATA